GTCGTAAACTATTATTATTATTATTATTATTATTATTATTATTATTATTATTATTATTATTATTGTTATTATTATTATTATTATTATTATTATTATAGGTATTTCGATTATGATAGAATAAATTATACTAAACACTTTCGACGATATTTATCGATATGTTTGCAAATTTTTATATTCCACTCAAAATTTAATTAATGTAAATGTATTAACAGTTAATTTTATGTTCCATTTATAAAAAGATCGTATGAGACTTTAATTATTGATGCTATATTCACGCTATGTAATAGTCATACATGCAAAAAAAAAATGAAGTAGCAAAGAGTGAAGACTTCTGCGAAAAAGCACTGTTATTTTTTTCCTTCAGTTTAATTATTTTTTTAAAACTTTTGTTCTTTCACATTTTTTATATTTTCCGAAATTCATGTCATGAAACTTAAATTATTTAAAATAAAACACTGAAAACAAGTTATTAAAATAATTTTGCATTTTGCTATTATTTTTGTACTCCCAAAAATTTATTTTATTATCTATATCGTAAAAGGAACTATTAATTTAAAATTAAATCCGTCATAATAACAGTAATAAATAAACGTTAGCCTCCCTTCGTTATCCTCAGTCAAAATATCAGTCGGTAATATCATTATTCTTCAATTATCTCCGGATCCGCTTATATTACATTAATTATTATATGTATATTAATATTTTTTTATTAATAATAACTATAATTATATAATTTAATAATAATAATTTATATAAATGATTCGTCCATTTCTTATGGCTTAAGGCTTAAATCCTGTTGTAGACCTGTTGTAGACCGGGACTAATAGATGTCTGAATAACGAACTTGAATATTTCCGCGAGTGCAGGATGACACAGGTGTGCCAATACATTAAGGGTCTGTACTTTTTAGCTGAACTGACTGCACCAGTTCAGAGTTTATCTTTCTTCTTCCAGTGTGTAAGAAAGAAAGATAAACTGCAAACTAGTACAACTAGTTCAGCCAAAAAGAACAAGCCTTAGATTGGGATATGCATATTGCTCACTATATTCCGGAATTAGTGTCCCGAATCCTGTTTTCAAAGAGAAGGTATCGCGCGTGTATGTTGTACATAAGCCGTGAAGTGAGATCGTCGGCTTGAGAAATGACAATTTGTAAATTATATACATATTATGTAAATCTTATTGTGAATGAATTGTTGATTACCGTCGAGGTGGCGTACGTTACCGTATCTTTATCGTTGCCGTCATTTTAACATCGTTGATTCCGTGCGAGCTCGGTGAGTCAAAATGGCGTGAACCGATCGCGTTTTTAAGGTTATCTTCGTTCGTGGTGGGTTAATGCGCGGCAAGGCTGTGTACATATTTTGTGTTCCTTTCTACGAGTGAACACTTTAGATTTATCACAGTGCCACGTTAACATCTCGTTTACTGTGCTGCGAGTTATATGAATTATGAGGACGGAATGCCCGCAGGCGGTAACAATCGTATCCGCGATTATTATCCAGCGCGGATGTCCGAACGACAACAACTTGCACTACTTTTGCAAATAACTTCTCAGGAAGTACCAGGTAAAAGTGTGAAAAAGAAAAAGAAAGCGAAAATACTGATTAATTGATTGACGACTGTATTAAGAAATATGAAACAGCACACAATAGTGAATGTTGTGAAATTACGCGCGCTTTTTTTCTTCGATTGGAAACATCGTTGACACGCGTTTATGATTTTATATAACACGAGCGCATCAAAATTCTTCAAGATCATTTTTAGATTAATGACAATGACAATGACTATGACAATGAATTATATCATCGTCGTATTCTACTATAGATTGTCATATTTGTTTTATTATTTATTATTTATAATCTAACATTTAATTAAATTACATTACATTAAATTACATTAAATTACATTTTTGTAATGATTACATAGTTGCGTAACCTTACATCATTCCTTTATGTAGGAAAAATGAAAAAAATGTGTACAGTCTAGTTATTTCAACGAGTTTTATTTTATTATTCACATGTTCAGGTTCACCAATATTAAAATAACATACTTGACAGATGCGTTCAATTACTTCGGTTATGAAATCGATTGATGGATTAAAAGGATACGTTTCATAAATTAGTGGGAACAACAATGAGCAAATGAGCAGAATACATTTTAACTAATATTTTTATTTATTGCTAAAAAGTCAAAGAAACAATTTGTTGCTTTGTAATTAAAAAAAAATATTTCGTTAAGAAAGATTATAAGTTAGTGGAGCAATGGGTTTTGTATGTGTGTGTGTGTGTGGGGGGGGGGGCACGCGCGCACGCACGCACAAAACAACAATTACAACAATAAACAATCTATATGTTTTTATAACAACAAGAAAATCAAACAAATAAATAGAGCGCATTAATCGGCAGACGGCATCTTAGTATCGAATAATTTTTCCTTTGTTTCCTCGAATATATAAAAATTCAAGGCAAATACCTACAATTACAATTAATAACATTTGAAAGAGAATTATGATTTGAAAGATGATATATGACATTTGAAAGAGAATTATATCATACTGTTCGTACAATTAGACGATTTTAAATATCTTGCAAAATGGCTGATGAATCCTCTTGGCAGAGAATCTGAAAATTTGAAAAACTCCGATTTTTTGGAGATACGAAAGAAAATGAAAAAAATAGAGACGAATGTAAACGATTCTCTCTTGTATGCCATTGACTGTTTTTTTATATCTTCTAAATAATTAATTTTCCTGTAGAAGTGTGATTAAAATATCGCTATAAAAATCCTCTCGAAATCCTTTGAAGAGTCAAATGAAAAGAAGTATAAACTAGGTACAAATGAGCTATATTAAGTATTTATATTTTTGATAAAGTTGGCTCCTAGATTCATATCGATATAAATACGCATGCGAGGTGTGACATAAAGAAAAAAAGACTGCTCTTATAACTTTTTTCACTTACCAAATTAATGCTAACTGTTGTCATCACCATCATCATCATCATCATCATCATCATCATCATCATCATCATCATCATCATCATCATCATCATCATCATCATCATCATCATCATCAA